CACAGATCAGAACAGAACAATTTAAGCAACATAGTGTTTCACCACAAGATAACTGGACATAACAGTAGTTACCATAGTGTCTCTTTCCTTGAATTATTTGAGTGTAACTTCATGTACTATAACATCAAACATCACATGACAGTGTAAAACCATTCAAGAGAATGAAATTATTACAGGGTATTTAAAACCAACTAACATAAAATGAACAATGGTTTCTATATTATCTCCTTACCTATAAAAAATTTTGTTTGTACTATCGCATATAATAAAATCCAATAAGATATAACGTGATAAAACTGATGGAGACAGAAGAACAAAAGCTTGATGGGACTTCAAAATAACATGATATTAAATCAGCACTAGCTATTATATTATCTTGTTTTCTTCAAAATAACTGCTAATACCATCACAGACAATAAAATCAAACAACCCAGAATAAAACCATTCCAATTAATGAAGGAAAACATTCTAAGGCTTCTGCATATTTGGAATGCATAATGAATACATTCATTGTGGGCATTTGGTGTGTGTACATGTCTTAATTCTTTTTCCATCTCTTTCCTCTCCCCCTACTCTCCCAACATTTATTATTCCCCTTCCCATTTGCCAACGATTTATCATGTTATTTCCCATTGTCCACCTTTTATTTCATTCTTTTATTTGTACTTCTGCTTTCTCATATAAAAGAAACCATACTACTTTTAAGTGTGTGTATCTGCTTTATTTCACTTAACATTATAGTTTCAAGCTGCATCCATTTTCCTACAAATGATTTAAATTTCTTCTTCTTTACAGCAGAATAATACTTCATTGTGTATATATCAGATTTTATTCTTTTTCAGTTGATGGACATTTAGGTCACTAAGATAATTCAGTTATTATGAATTATGCTGTTATAAGTCACACAACTCATACTGACATTAGAAAAGCAAGATGTATCACAATCCTAGATTTCAAGTTATACTACAAAGCTATAGTGATAAAAACAGCATGGTCCTGGCACAAAAACAAACATGTAGATGAATGAAACAGAACAGAGGACACAGAAACAACCCAAAACACATTCAGTTACCTGATCTTTGAGAAAAGGCCCAGTGTTTTAGAAGGTGGTAAACTGATTAAGTCTCTATGTGTGTTCACTGGCTCAAGCTTGTCAAATGAGTTTTAATTTTTAACATGTAAATTATTTACCTAATCGGTCTTATTATTGAGTATATGGGTTTGTTTACTTTTTATTTTAACTCAGTTTTCATCTTATATATTTTGACTCCACGTTATTTGTACTTGCCAAGTTATAATTTTTAATATTTTCTCCTTGACATACTCCTTGTAATAGTATTTTATTCCAAAGAAAAATATTTTGCCTATTGTCCACTCCATCTATATTTTATAGGCCTATCACCTTTATCTTGATTTGCATTGGCCAAAATGTATTTATTAATTACTTTACATGAAAGTGTCTAGAGAGACTATTGTAATCACTTACTTACTGAAAATGCCTATAGCTAATCTAATGTGCAGTATTAGGTAGAGTTTTTGTATTGGGGGTAACAACAAACAGAACAAAGCCCTTACTCTTCTGGAACCCCCAACCTCTTAGAGTGAAAGAAATAATAAACAGGTAAGTTGTGTCAGTGTATGAAGTAAATGAAACAACACATTATAAGGGAGATATTCAGATTTGTGATAACAGGGGCAAGGAATACCTAGGTGATGTGACAACTTTCCAGTGAGACCTGAGGCTGAGTAACAATGGGGACCTGTTAGTAGTGCACTCTCTACATTATTGTATTTGACTGAAATTATCTTCATATTGATGTTGCTCTGAAATGCTGATATAGAATTCCAGATTAGCAGATATCTTACTCTTAGCATTTTGAAGATGTATTTACATTGTCTTTGGCTTCTTTTCATTTTCAAGAAGTCTATTATCAATCAAAATTATTTGTACATATACATCCTTTTTGCTGTACTGAGAGTTGGACTCGGAGCCATTATATTGAGCTACATATCCTGCCATTTAATTTTTTTTTAAATATTCATTAGTTTATTTTTGAGACAGGATCTTGCTAAGTCACTAAGTTGTCCAACCTGAGACTGAATTTGTCATTCTCCAGCCTGAGCCTCCAATGGTGCTTGGGTTATACTGTCTCAGCTTCCCTCTTAAGATCTCTGGTATTCTCTAAATCTGCTGTGTACTGGCTCTGCTTGGATCTACATTAATTCATTGAGCTTTCAATTAATTAGGATTCTTGAGGCTAAGTATCCGTATATTTTGACAGTTCTGGGAAGCTTCATCCATTAATACTTTCAATATTGTTCCCCACCATTTTCTCTGGTCCCTCACATTTAGAACCTTAATAGACATGCTAAACCTTTCTTTTATATTCTATAAGAGGATAGAGGGATTTATTCTCCCGCATTTCTGTCATTTATCTGTCTGAAAACTAAACTGATCAATGTTTCCTTATATGTACTTTTCAGTTTATTAATCTCTCTTCAATAACATCCAGTCTATTATGTAACACATTCATTAAGTTTTTATTTCCAATTACTTTTTTTAGCGAAAGCTGACGTCAAATAGACCTTTTTTCAAATTTGCCATTTATTTCATCTCTTCTCCCATAATTTTAATTTCCCCTTTCCTTTTAATGTTAATTGTACTGCTTTCATAACATCTACTTGATAATTCTGTTATATAAAGTACTTGGAGGGAGCATAATTTGATTATATGTTATACTAGCTGACTCTTGCCCATGGCTATTTCCTGAGGTGTTTTGTTCTTGTGGAGTGGGAGATAATTATTAGCAAGCATTTACTTGTGGTTTGGCCCCCCTAGAGTGGTTTTTTTTGTTGTTGTTGTTATTGTTGTTGTTGACTTTTCCAGTTAATGTAGTGCTAACCTCAGCCTGAGACCAATTTATGCTAAATTTTCAATTTGAAAGCATTAGACCAAGCACACAATGTACATTTGAGCATCAATCTAAAATGAAGGTTTAAGTTGTTCAGTCTCAATTTAAATGTTTTTCTCTTCCTCCTTCCTCTGTGTTTGAACTTTTGGTTTGAACTTTGTGGGCTGATTTTTTTCTAGTTAATTTTATCTAATTTTCATCCTTTTGCTAAAAGTAGAGCCTTTCAGGACCATGGCTCTATGTGGGAGTTTTATTCTCGTTTCTCTTCTGGCACAGTCTGGGTTTGCACCTGTTGTCCTGGTTATTTATATAGCTTTCTCCCACTGTCAAAAGTGGTTTAGTTTAGATAATAAATTATGTTAACTTTTAATTCTTAGTCGGGGGTGTACTTGGTGTCCTAGAGGAAGGGAGAAACAAGAGGGGCTAAGTGCAGACAGAAGAGTGGAGATTTCCTGTAGAATGGCAAGGACAGCATATATCAGGGAAAATTTTATTTGAGGTCTGATCAGAAGCTGTTAGAGAATTTTGAACCGAATAATTTAGAGCAATTTCTTGAGAAAATCAAAATCCAAATACAGAAATAAGTTAGATGACAATAGATTAAGAGGTCTTTTGCAAAAAGGAAGTGAACCAAGAGAGGGAGGGAAGCCGTAGGGGGAGGGATGAAAGGAAAATGCTGATGTGTTGTGCGTGTGCACCAGTTCTCCAGGGGAAACGTGATCATTGTGTACTATAAACATGCACTAGTGAAAAACAGAACCAGAAATCACTGGAAGCATTGCCTGTGCCTTCTGTAGTTTCGTGGGTAGTCAAACATCTGGGCAAGAGTTTATACTCAGATTTTGAAATTCACTTTCTCAGTAGTTTGCCTTCTTTCAGAAACTTCTCAGAGTTTTCATCTCACCATACAGCCCTAATCACTTCCTTTGGTAAGTGAAGCTAGTGTTAGCAGACTTTCACCACCTGAGTTGTTAGTGAGTGAAAAATTCCTTCAGCTGAACCAGCAGCCAACTCAGAACCATAAACCAGCCCAGTTCTTTCATTTCTATTCTTCCTGCCTGCTTTTCAGTGGGCCCCAGGGTTTGCACCATTTGTCTGCAGTCCAGTGGTCAGCCAAGAGTTGGAGCTGAGACTAGACCCGGTTTGGGGGACACATCACTTCTATGCACCTTCTGTTTTCAGGACTCTCACCCCTACTATTCCGACTTCCCTGTCACTTTAAGTCAGGAAGGTTGTCATAATGCCCAGGGAATTCTAGGTTGGGTGATCACCTTCAGAAACAAAAAGAAGTAACTTACGATTCTGATACATTACTGCTGTTGTCTCAGTGTAAACTCACTTAAAATTTCTGTCTGCTTTCCAGTAATGGCCATAGTTGTTCCTATTTTATAATTATAGCTACAGGAAGATGTACTGAGGCATTTTCTTGTGCTATCACTAAGTCCTAAACTGATTACTGTTTAATCTGTGTTTATATTAACAAAAACTTTTGAATTTTTCACTTTTATTAATAATGTTACCCATTTTATTAATTTTCTGTTCACTTTCTGGCTTTTCTATTTGTTTGCTTTTTATCTTGTTTAGATGTGATTTAATTATGTATCAAAGAAAATATCTTAATCCCCTAAATATATTGCTATTTTGATGCTTAGGTAAAATTTGTGTTAAAATATAAGGTTTGCTTTTATGATTATTGCCATGTTGAGCACTGATGCTCATATGGGATTACTCAACAGTGAAGACAAGGTACCCGGTATGCTGCTACTACGGCTGTCACAGGATGGAGAGGGCACCTCTTGCCTTTTCATTAGGCAGTCATGTGGTCAGCTTGCAAGATGAATGAGGCAGTGTTGGTAGTGATAGTCCTAATATAAAACTTGCAGATACAATATTTCAATACTTACAGCTCATCATAGCATCAGTTTTCAGCCATAATCATTTGTCTTACTCATCAGTAGTTACTGAAACACATTATGCTGTTTATATCAGAGGAAGTACTGCAAAGCGGTTAAGGTTTGCTAAAAAGACTGAAGGCTCTCACCAAAATTCTACTGAAACATTATTCCCCTCCCCTCTTTTTGTCTCTAGGAGTACACCATTGATGTATTTTTTAGACAGACATGGCATGATGAAAGACTGAAATTTGATGGACCCATGAAGATCCTTCCACTGAACAATCTCCTAGCTAGTAAGATCTGGACTCCTGATACCTTCTTCCACAATGGCAAGAAATCAGTGGCTCATAATATGACCACACCCAACAAGCTACTCAGACTGGTGGACAATGGGACCCTCCTCTATACAATGAGGTAAGAGAACAAGATATTGAGGTCTCACTCACAGTATATTACTAGGGTTGAAGATAGCGTGTTTTAGGGTGTCTACTGAAAATTCCTTCAAAGTTATAAACTAGAAATATGGATATACACTTCCTAACACATTATTACTACATGCACAGACATAATTATGGTAGATACACATATAAATAGATATTTGGACATATAAACATTCTTAGACACACAGAGATATGTGTTCATCTTATATAAGTATATGCATGCTCAAAGATACCTGTGACTGTTACAGGCATAGTACCCCTATGATGCAGAATCATGAGAACCCAAAGAAATGATAGCTTTTTCAAACATATAATGTATTATGTACATAAATAAAAAGCATAGCAATATTTATTTTATGCAGCATTGCCTGGGGATCCTAAGGAACTGGAAATAAACTTCCCCAACAACTTGAGTTTATATCTTATTGAAATATACTGTACAAAAAATATAAAATATATTTCATACTTGTCTACCTCAGCTGCAAAAGAGACAATCACAATGTTACACATTTTGTGATCCATTACTAGCATTTGAGTCATTAAACATTAAAATTTGTTATAAAAAAGAGTAACTTTGAAGTGCTTGCAATGCAGTAACATTATTTGCCCCAATACTAACAAACTTTGAGGGTTCTTTATTATTTTGCTAGTTCCTCTATTGCTGAATATCACTTCCTGTGGCCTCCTCCCATATTAATAAGATCAGTTAACAGAGTGATTCTATATTGAATCTGTATAAGTGCAATCCTTCAGTGCAGCTTCTATGACTATTTTAAATTTGTGTATTTTTATTTTGCTTAGTGAAACTCAGGCATATCTCGTACATAGATGGTAGATAACTGAAGTGTGTTTGCCTGCATAGTAGGCTTTCTTTTTTATTTTAAAGAGTGTAAAATTAAACAGAACAAAGCAGATCATAGGAAAACAATTTAATAAACACAGATTTCAAAGCAGGACCACTGGATATCTTCACTGTGTATCGTATTGTCTCTTGTTTTCTTCCAAAGAGTTGTCCATATCTTCACAAACAGTGAATTCATACTGAACAAAATAGTACTAAACTGATCAGAACAGACGATGAAGGCATTTTAGGTCTTCAAGACCAGACAATAGGGAAGTCAACAATAGCTGCCATAATATCTCTCATTCTCTTCAAAATAGCTGTCCATATCTTTACATATGTTGACATTAAACAAAAGAAAACAGACTAATATCACTCTGGACAGAGGATAATAGTATTGCTAGGCTTTATATCATGACGCTACCAAATTAGCACTGGGTATCTTAGTGTTGCTTTTTCTTCAGATTATCTGTTCATTACATCTTGCATTGTATAATCTATTCTCGTAAACTGTTTAGAAGTTCTACACATGCATGAATCTCTACATGTATACCTATTATTTTTGTATTAGAGGGAAAACAAATCAAAACAAGACAACAAAACAAATTCCTAGAAAAACATGAAATGAAAAAGACATAAAACCACAATAGTAGGTGATCTACAGTAGTTACTACGATGTCTCTTGTTATTTTCAATAGAATTGTCTATATCATCAGACATAATATAATTGAACATAACACTACATAGCAATATTAATAACAAGATAACATTGGAGACATTGTAGGACTTTAAAGGCAGTTAATAATCAAACCAGAATGTGTATCTTATTGCATCTTATCATCTTCAGAGTAGTTGCCTCGGCTCTTAGACTTGATACTATCATGCATACCAAATTTGAACAAAATCATTCAAGACAAAACAGCAGTCTGAAAAACCAGACTCAAATAAGATCAGTCATAATAAGATAGTGTAAGTAATACAGTGTTTCAGGTTAAGTTAATGGGAGATTAAGGATAGTTACCATAGTATATCCTGATATTTTGGGGATAGCTGTCTGTGCCCTCAAATCTAGTATGAGTAGACAGACTGGAACAGAATAAAATCAAACTAAACAGAGCGATAAGACTACTGTAATTTTTTTTATTTAAAAAGAAAAAAGAAAAAAACACAGCAGTAAAAGGGTACAAGTAGTACAGAATTTCAAGAAAAAAATATACAGTAAGAAATCACTAGTTTACATATTGTCATCTTAGAAACAGTTGTCCAAATTACAAAATTAAAGCATAAAAGTGGACATTCATACAGTGAGATTGCAGACAATTCTGTTCAATGATCCAACAAAAACTCAGTAATATGGTTTTCTATTCTACACACTTAAATATACATGCAGTTATATCCTTTAGACCACTTTATTTTCCTCTCTTTTTTACATTAACAAGTACACTTTTTGGGTTTTATTACTCCCACAGTTCTTATTACTTTTTTTTTTGAAGCGAATAAGACCAAATGTTACAAAACAAAACAGAGTCAGTTAGAACAGAAGGACGGACATAGTATATGATGCAAAAATAGAATACTAGGTCATAAAAAATGATTACCATTATGCCTTTTGCTATCTTGAAAAGAGTTGCTTATATCATCAGGTATAATAGAATTGAACAAAACGTTACAGAACAAGATCAATAAAACCTACACTGGAGACCTTACAGGACTTCAAAAGAAGATAATAGTCAAGCCATAATGGGTATCATAGTAAATCTTACTGCTTTCAAAGTGGTTGCCTATACCCTCAAACTTGATACTATCAAACAAAACAAAATATAGTAAAATCAAACAGAACAAGATGGGGAGAGCAATACTGAGATTAAATCCTGATACACTATTAACCATGTCCTCTGCCTTCTAGACAATTCCTTCCCTTTCCCTTTCTCAGGGTGCTTTGTACATTTTGGGTACCACTAACTCCTTTAGATTAGGGGGTCAACCAGGATCTACCTGAATGGTTCTGAATCTTTTACCCCTGAACTTGATCTTGAGCTGTATTCCTTTTCCTACTAAAACCTCAAGATTTTCCTTCTTTATATAGCTGAGTAGTTCTCTACTGCACAAAAGTGTCATGACTTTCCAACCTATCTACAGCTGCTGGAAGAGCTGTCCCTATTTCTCTCTGGTTCCCTATCACATAAAGCATTGTTTTCTCATCTTTGACTTTTGGTTCATTAACCCTGTTTCAGGTAGATTATATTTCTTATTCAGAGCATCTCGATGGACCCTATCTCCTGATCTATTATGCCTGTGTTTCCTTTTGTTAGTGTATCAAGGCCATCTGTGTTAGAGACTATAGCCAGTCTTCTCTGCCTTATCTCAGCTATGGTGTTGGTTGTGTACTTTTCTCCTTCATTCCACTGTCTGCCCCATTCACTGAGGCCTCTCTACCAGTATTGGTGGAATCTTGGTGATTTTTTTCTCTTTCTCTAGAATATCCTTCAGTATTTTTTGTATGGTTGGATTGGTGGTCACAAACTCCCTGAGTTCCTGTTTGTCATGGAAACATCTTGTTTCTCCATTAATTCTGAGAGACAGTTTTTCAGGGTACATCAATTTTGGTTGGAGGTTATTTTCTTTCAGGGCATGGAATATTTTGCTCCAAGCTCTTCTTGATTTGATAGTTGTGTCAAGAAGTCTGTTGTGATTTTGGTTCGTTTTCCTTTATAGGTCATCTATTTCTTTTCTCTGACTGTTTTTTCTTGTGATGAATTTCTGGGATCTTGATTATTATATGTCTGGTTATAGATGTGTTTTGGTTGTAGCTGGCTGGAGTTCTGTGTGCCTCATGTATCTGAATATCAATTCCTTTTCCTATGTTTGGGAAGTTTGCTTTAATTATTTCTGGGAATAGCCTTTGTAATTCATTTTTGTTAACTCCTGCTTCTTTGATTACATTTTTTATTCTTAAGTTATAGATCTTCTTGTTGTCTTCTAGCTTTGTATTGTTACTTCCTGGTTCCTTGTTATTTTTAAGAGATCTTTACTTTCACAATCACACATTGCAAATCTATCTTCAAGTTTTGAAATTCTAACCTTACTTTCTGTCAAGAAATTTTGCCAGCTTTCAATGGAGTTTTTAATTTCCTGGTAATCTTTTTGGATCTGTTTCATGTATTCTAGATTTTGTTTATATTCTTCATCAAAGGTTTCTCTCCTTTTTCTGTGTTCTTCCAATCTTCCATCTGTGTCTTCTTGGGGAGATACTTAGCATTTCTTTTAGTAATCTTTTTATATCTTGCTTCACTTGAATTAGAATTTCAGTTTTAAGTTTGTCTATGAGGTCACGAAGGTATTCCTTTATGTCCGCTGATGCTGTGTCCAATATTGTATGTTTGCTGCCCTTAATCTTTTCTGTATTTACCTCTCCTGGCATTATTTTCCCTGGTTCAGTGGCTGGAGGTTTTTTCTTATTTCTTTCTCTTGTCATGTTTCTGGTTTATTTCAGACAGTTGTATGGTGGAAGTCTCAGGACCTTTCCAGATTGCTTAAAGTTTTTCTGAAGCATGCTGGCTAGGGGATTGCTGCCCACCCCAGTTTACTGTTATTATCTGAGGTGCACCCAAGGATGATGCAGGTTGGCCCCTCTCCTCTGAGCCAGTCAACAGGCCAGTGCCTTTAACATGTTAGTCTGTGTCGTGCAGAAGTCACAGGTTTAGGACAGTTTTGGCCCTGGCTACTGGGTCCTGACCAGGGGCGTGACCCAGCCCAAACAGATCCCACCAGTCCTGTTTGGGCCAGGTGCAGCCGACTCATGCCTCTGTGTTTCCAGATTCAGACCCTTCCTGCCCAAGTCCAATATGTCGTCCAACCGGTCACCCCCTCCGCAGGACCAAATTTCTTGCACTCACCACGGATTAATGCAGTTCTCCACGTTGGTTCTGCTCTCTGTTGCGCCGCATCCTCCCCGCCAAGGGCCTTGGGCTCACCAACCCTTGCTTTTGGCGCTACTGTGATTTCAGTGTGACCGTGAGTCATCTGACTGCAAGGTGTGCCCAGCATAGTGTGGGACCAGCCCCAGGGACAGTGCATCTGATTCCAACCTTTCATCCACATTTTTTCTCTTTTCATTTTTTTTCTTTTTCATT